GACTCCGCATCCCCTGGGTGCTGCCGCATCTCCCCAGTGCCCAGGTCGCTGTGATTGTGCTTTTGCCCTCGTCCCCCACCCCCTTCCTGGGTCCCCAAGCTCTTTGTTGCCCCCGGCCCCTCCGGGGTGCCTGGGTCACGGTGGAGTGTGGTTGTGCCCCTCCCCCGGTGCCTGGGTGGCTCCGTGTTGGGGTCATGCCCTGGCCCCCAGTTCAGCCCTTTCTCCTTGCTCCTGCCAGTGGTGAAGCGGGTGCCGGAGCATGTGCAGGTGGACGACCCAGCAGCACAGAGGAGACTGGCGAAGAAGCTGGAACGGCAGCAGGTAGAGGGTGCCCGGGCACTGCCACATGCCGAGGGATTCGCGGGGGGAAGGGCCTGGGGAGAATGCCGTGTGGTCTCGTCTCCGTGAAGGGGGACGCCCGAGGTGCCAGGCACAGTGTTAGCTGTGCCTGGGGTGGGCGGGCGTAGTGGGCTAGAAGGCTGTGCCCAGCGGGGGTCAGGGGCAGCTGGGCAGGGCCCAACGGGGCAGGAGTTAGGGGCACAGGGATATGGGGCAGGCTGGGTGGCAGTGGAGGCAGGGCAGGTGAGTGGGGTGGCTGTGGGAACAGACAAGGTGTGTGGAGGCAGGTAGATCCTTCTGTCTCAGTGCGTTCTGTTATACCCAGGGGCTCTGCCCGCCCCCTCCCCGGTTGTGTTCGGCTGTGACCCAAACTAAGGGTCTCCCGTCACGCCAAGCGAGGGAACTCACTTATCTGCTTAGTAACAGTAACCTGCCTGTCTCCATGCTCGCCAGGGGCTTTGGGGCCCTGCCTCGCTGGTTCTGTTCGGCGGGGCCGTCATGACCTGTCGTAGCCCCGTCCCTGTTCTGTACCCAGATATCAGGGACGGTTCCTAGTAAGCCAAATGGCTGTGTTTGGCACTGCTCCCCAAAGGGTTAATCCCGGGCACCCTAAAGCCTGGCCCCCCGTTGTATAGGTCACATTGGCCAGGTGCTGTTCATGTAGGTTACTAAGCAGCATGTGAGATCAATGTGTATATGGATCCTTTACATACACTTCGGCCCTAATCGCTGGCTCACCTCCTGACTGGCAGGTTGGCTGTGCCGAGCGAGGGGGTGTCGGGGCTGTGTGCGGCGGGGCAGGGGGGGGGGGCGTGCTATGGGCAGGCTGTGCCCGCTGGGGAGGGGGCAGGTGGCAGTGCCCAGCAGGGGTGAGGCCAGGGGTAGGGGTGGGCAGGCTGTGCCTGCTGGGGAGGGGGCAGGGGCAGGTGGGCATTGCCCAGCAGGGGTGAGGCCAGGGGTGCAGGTGTGCCATGAGCAGGCTGGGTCTCGCAGAGGGCCTTTGCCGACCCGCACTGAAGCAGCGTGCTCTGAAATTTCCATGCCAGGTTCCTCTGAGGCAAGACTATGGCGCCAAAGTCAACCTCTTCTCCCACTTGCACCAGTACAGCCGGAAGGTGCCGCTGACCCAGCAGATGAGGTTTGTGCCCCTGGCCCTGAGGCTGGTGAAGACGTCGGCTGCAGCCTGCGCTCTGGGGTGGGCTGTGCCAAGGCAGCTTGGCCTCCGTGTGTCCTTCCCGGATGTGGGGAAGCTGGCGAGCCCCGTCTGGGGCGACGCCCAGTTGCTGTGGGATGCCCAGCTCTGGGTGCCCACCCCAAGGGCAGGTCTTGCTGCCCTGGTGGGGCGAAGGGTGAACCCTGGCCAGCTGTGGGGGTTGGCCAGGACATCCCATTTCCTGCATGTGGGGAGGGTATGGGGCGTGGGGGCCTACTGGCTGTGTGTGTGGGGGGGGTATAGAATGAAGGGGGCACCCAGTGTGTGTTGGAGGAGTATGGGGTGAGGGGGGCACCCTATGACGGTGTGTAAGGGTGTCTGGGGGACGGGGTAACCTGGGTGGTTAGGGGAGTATGTGACAAATAGGGAGCCCTGGCCTGGAACGAGTGTGGGGCAAAGGGTGATGCCCCAGGTGTGTGCATGCTGGGGTGACGGGGATGCCCTGGGGGTGTGAGTGTGTGTGTGGGGGGGGATGACAGGGATGCCCTGGGTGTATATGGGGGTTATGGGGTGATGGGGATGCCCTAGGTGGGTGTGGGGGTGCCCTGGGAGGAGGTGATGGAGGTGCCCTGGGTGGGTGTGTAAGTTACAGGGTGACGGGGATGTCCCGGGTGCGCCTGGGGGTTACGGGATGACGGGGGTGCCCTGGGAGGTGGTGACGGGGATACCCTGGATGTGTGTGTGGGGTGGCCTGGTTCATGAAGGGCACATGTGCCTCTCCCTGGCAGGTTGATCCCTTGGGGGCTCACCATGGAAGCTCTGGGGGGGGTGACCCAACACTGGGGGCCGTAGCGTCCTTCCCCTTCTGCGCTGGTGTAGCCTCCCAGCTCCAAGGCCTCTCATCTGTGCCCTGCGTGTGTCCCCAGCATCCCCGCCACGGCGATCCATCCGGCTGTGGTGCGGCTCGGCCTGCAGTACTCCCAGGGGCTGCTGAACGGCTCCAACGCACGCTGCCTCGCCCTGCTGCAAGTCTTCAGACAGGTACCGCTGACTCCCCGCTGTATCAGCTCCCCCCGCTGCGCCAGGCTGAGATGCTGCATCCTGCCCTAGCTAGGGGCCTGGGCCCGGGTCCCTCGCTCCCTCGGGCTGCGCCAGCGCCGGCTCCCCCTGCGGGGCGCAGGCTGAGACACTGTGTCCTGCTCCGGCTCGGGGCCTGGGCCCGGGTCCCTTGCTCCCTCGGGCTACGACAGTCTGTCGTGTGCTGGCTCCCTGGGCCGGTGAGGCCAGGCGCTGCGTGGTGCCGCAGCCCAGCCTGGGAGCAGAACAGGTCGGGCTGCTGGTACCCACCCGCTGCAGAGCCTGACAAACTGCCCCGCCCACCCCAGTGCTGCCGGTGCCTCCTGCCCCGCCCCCCAGCTCTGCCGGTGCGTCTTTCCCCGCCCCCCAGCGCCGCCGGTGCCCCCCAGCTGTCTGGAAGCCTTGTTCTCCCGCTCTGCCAATGCCCCTCTGCAGCGACCAGCGAGGCAGGCTGGGATACCCTGTCCCGGTGCCAGGGTGTCATGGTCTCGCCCTGCTTGTTCCAGGTGATCCGGGATTACTCAACGCCGCCCAACGAGGAGCTCTCGCGAGACCTGGTGGCCAGGCTGAAGCCCTATATCAGGTGAGGCCGAGAGAGACGGGGCAGCAGGATCTTCCAAGGGAGGGGCTCTCGGGGCTGCAGTTCATATGGGTACCGGGCCTGTGGTTCTCCCCCGCCCCTCCCAGTCCGGGCTGGTCATCTCCGCTGGCGC